AATGAAAAAATTAAAAGAGAAATGAAGCAATACATGGAGACAAAGGAAAACAAAAATTCAACAGTCCAAAATTTGTGGGGTGCTGCAAAAGTGGTTCTAAGATGGGAGTATACATAACAACACATGCCTATCAAGAAACAAGAACAATCCCAAATACAGAGTCTAAATTCACAGAAACTAGAAAAACAAAAAAAAATGAAAACCAAAATTAGTAGTAAGGACATAATAAAGATCAGAGCAGAAATAAATAAAATAGAGAAGAGTAAAACAAGAGAAAAAAATCAACAAAACCAAGGGTTAGTTCTTTGAGAAAATAAGAAAATAGATAAACACTCAATTCTACCAAATATTTAAAAAATAGTTAATACACATTCTTCTTAAAGTATTCCAAAAAGTAGAAGAAGACAGAATACTTCCAAAGTCATTCTATGAAGCCAGCATCACTTGAATACATCACAAGACAGAAACACTACAAAAAAAACAGAAAATTATAGACCAATATCCCTGATAAACACAGATGCAAAAACATCAAAAAATCAGCAAAACAAAATAAAAAATACATCAAGAGGATAATGCATGATGACCAAGTGGGATTTATTCATCCAAGTGGGACTAAGGGATGCAAGGATGGTATAATATTCATAAATCAATCAATATCATACACCACATTAACAGAAAGAAGGATAAAAACCACTTGATCATCTGAACAGATGCTCAAAAGCATTTTACAAAATTCAACACCCATTCATGATAAAAACTCCCAACAAAATGGACAGAGAGAGTATATACCTCAATATATAAAGGACATATATGACAAACTCACAGCTAACATCATACTTAACAGCGAAAAACTGAAAGCTTTTCCTCTAAGTTAAGTAACTTAGACAATGATGCCCACTCTCCCCGCTTTTATTCAACAGGTCCTAGCCACAGCAATCAGACAACACAAAGAGATAAAAAGCATCCAAATCAGTAATGAAGAACTTAAACTGTCACTATTTGCAGATGACATGATGTTATACATAGAAAACCCTAAAGATGAAACCAAAACACTATTAGAACTAATTTACTGGGTGCAGCAAAGTTGCAGGACACAAAATTAATGCACAGTAATCTGTTGCATTTCTATATACTAATAACAAATTAGCTGAAAGAGAAATCAGGAAAACAATTCCATTTATAATTGCATCAAAAAGAATAAAATACCTAGGACTAAAACTAACCAAGGAGGTGAAAGACCTGTAATCAAGGAAACCCTCCTACACTGCTAGTGGGAATGTAAATTGGTGCAGCCAGTGTTGAAAGCAGAAACTCAAAAAAACTAAAAATAGAAATAGCATTCAATTCAGTAATTCCACTTCTAGAAATTTACCCAAAGGAAGCAAAATCCCTGATTCAAAAAGTATTATGCACACCTGTGTTTATCACATCATTATTTACAACAGCCAAGATATGGAAGCAACCTAAGGGTCCATCAGTAGATCAAGATGTGGTACACACACACACAATGGAATATTACTCAGCCATTAAAAAAGAAATACTGCTATTTGCAACAACATGGATGGATCTAGAGGGTATTATGGTAAGTGAAAGAAGGCAGGGAAAGACAAACACCAAATGATTTCACTTATTTCTGAAGCATAAAAACAAAGCAAAACAAAATGAACAAAACAGCAACAGACTCATAACACTGAGAAATGAATGGTGGCTACCACACAGAAGGGGTTGGGAGTAGGTGGGTGGAGAGGGTGAGGGGGATGAAGTGGCACAAAATTTCTCAATCATAACATAAGTTGGTCACAGGGATAGTAGTATAATATCGGGAATATAGCCAATGATTCTCTAACAGCTTCCTATGTTGACAGACAGCAACTGCATTTGTGAGGGTGAGGATTTAATATGGGTAAGTGTTGAACTGTGTTGCATGTGTGAAACTAATGTAAGTTTGTATATCAATGATACTTCAATAAAAAAAGAAAAAAGATAAATAAATATAAACTCTAGTTAATGCTGCTTACTAGGGGTAAAGTGTACTGAAGCCTATAACTTAGAAAGGCATCAGAAATACTGGTTGAAGAAATACTGGATCAAGAAAGAGAGGGGTTAGATGAACAACTATATGATAAAGCAAATGTAAAAAACAATTGTAGAATCTAGATGCATATAGTGGTCTCTACTGAATAATACTTTCAACTTTTGTATATATTTGAAGTTTGTCATAATAGCATGTTGGAAAAAAATGAGTTGAACACCTTCTATGTGCTAGTTTTTGTTCTAAGTGTGAGACATTGCTCCTAGGAATTAATTACCCAGCAGGTATTCACTGTCTAGTATGAAACAAAGGTTTTTATCCCCACATATGTGTATTAATATAGTCACCTAATTTTTTTAAGTAATAAGTTTTAAATAAACTGTCAAATTTAGCCTTTAAAAGTGTACAATTCAGTGGTTTTTAGTATAGTCACAAAGTCATGCAACATGCATCCCTATTTAATTTTAGAACATTTTCCTTGCTTCAAGAGAAAAGCCTCTACCTGTGAGCAGTGACTCCCCTATCCCTTATCCACCTAGGCCCAGATTACTAATCTACTTTCACCCTCTACAGAAAATGCCTATTACCATATAAGTGGTATCATGAAATGTGTTCCTTTTTGACTGGAGGCTGCTTTCACTTAAAATAATGTTTTCTATGTTCATTATGTTATATCATGTATCAGTATTTCATTCCTTTACATGGCTGAATAATATTCCAAAGTCTGGATATACCACTATTATTTATCAATTCATTAGCTGATAAACATTTGTTTCATTTTTCATTTATTACAAATAATATTGCCATGAACATTACATACAAGTTTTTATGTGGACATAACAATTCTCTTGCATATATACACAGGAACAGAATTGATAGGTCATATGGTAAGTCTATGTTCAACTTTTCTAATAACCAAATTGTTATCCAAACCAGCTATATCATTTTACATTCCCACCAGCAAAAAAATTCAAATTTCTCCACATCCTTGACAATACTTATTTTAAGTCTTTTGATTACAACCATGCTACTTGCTATGAAATGGTATCTCACTATGGTTTGATTTGTATGCCCCCTTGTAACTAATGATGTTGAGCATCTTTGAATGAATGTGCTTGTTTCCATTCACATATCTTTTTTGGATAAATGTCTGCTCAGGTATTTTGTTCATTTTTTAATGAGTTATTTGTTCCTAACTTTTAAATGTCCTTTTCTAAAGGCTCTAACAACAGAAACTAATCATATTCCCCAAGTTTTTCTTGAGTCTCAGGCCCTATGCCAAGTGAAAGTCAATCATTTCTTTTATCATCTTTCTACGTCAGATCATTCATTCATACCTCTATTTAACCAAACATCATATCATTTTACCACACATCGTACTAAACTAATTGTTCACATGTATGTCCACTCCACTGTACCTTAAGATTTTAAGGGAGAAGAACATATCATTTTATCGCTGTATTTTCCCACATTATGAATAATGTCTTATATATAATAGACTTTACTAAAAGTATAATGAATTGCATAATGCAAGCTAACCCATTACATATCCTTTAATGAGATGTACTTCATTAATTAATATTCCAATTAATTAACTAGATATCCTCCAATGAACCATGTAGTTCATTAAATTTAAAGTTGCTAATGATAATTACAAATAATTAAGGATTCATCAAGTATATATACAACAATTAGTTGAAATAACTCTCGGAGAGCCTCTGCAGAAAAATAAACAACACCAGAGTTTACTAGGTGTCATGTCTCTGACACCAAATGCCATGGTGTATTTTTTCCCTACATATATGTATAACAACAACAATATTATACACAGCAGTAATAGCGCTACTTCATTCAGGTCCCCGGACCTGATTCCAATGTGTTGTAAGTATGTGAGAGGAGTTCTTCCCGCACATACTTAAATCAAGCAATTCTCCAACACCAGCAGGGTGCTGGAGAACTCAACTCAATTCTGATGCTATCTGCCTGGAGACAGCACCAGATTCCCAGGTTAAAAGCTCCATCCTACAGTACTGCCCTCCACTCCCAATTCCAGACACAGGTTGCAAAACCCAGGCAGTTACATGTGCTTCTGACCTACCAGCTACAGAGGTTCCCACGACCTCCCCCTTAGGTTCAATTAATTTGCTAGAATGGCTCACAGAACTCAGGAAAACACTTGGGGTTTACCAGTTTAATAAAGGAAACAAGTTAACAGCCAGATGAAGAGAGACATAGGGCAAGGTGCCAAATAAAGGAGCTTCTATTTTTGTGGTGCTGGGCGGCCTGGCTCAATGGTACATGGAGGCATTCTGGTTCCTCAAGCATAGAAGCTCTCTGACCAAGAAGCAGGATCCAACTGAGCAGAGCAGGCAAAGCAGAGCAGAGACCAAGAGAACCCACTCTCATGGGTTTTATGAGGGCTTCATTGCACAGTCATGATTGACTAAATTATTGGCCATTGGCTGATTCAGCCTCCAACCCATGCCCTTGGGTAGGGGTCCAAAATCTCTCATTAACATGACAAAACACCTGTTTCACCCTTAAGACTGCAGTGTTTTCAGGAACTGTGGATGAAGACTAAATATATCTGGGAAATATATATCTGGTCATATGAACAACTGAATATGTATTTCTTATAACTCATTATATCACACTACAAAATCTTGATGTTACAACTATCTTAACTTTTATATAATGTACATTCTGAATATCTACACCTATAATAAATACAAAGGTTATTTTTAACAGGTCGAAAAATGAAAATCAGAATTGTATCCAGCAGGTAGAAAAGAATAAAAACATCAATGTAGTGTCAAACAACCAAAATACAATCATCCCATGATTTTAGAATACAGCCACATTAGAATACTGCAAAACTCAACCCAATGTTTTATTTTTTTAAGTTTCACAATGGCAAAAACACTTTGTAAGAAGAATAGTTCTAAAATAAAGTTGTATTTTTGTTATATTTACCTGTAATGTTTCCTAACATATCTTTATTGTGACAGAAAGGATCTTCTGTTTCTCCATCTTTAAAATTGCCTATTTCTCCATAGTAAAGAGCAATCCCAAGTTGCATTATACGGATAAACATAGGTAGTTGTTGATCTGTGATAGAAAGTTTCAAACTCTCCACTAATGTATGAATCTGTATGTTGAAAACAAAAACATCAACAAAAACATGTTCAAAAAAATATCTTTTAACACAGAGAAATATTAGAAGTCTTAAAATGAAATACCGTAAGAGAAATAGCGATGCCCAAACATTTCTAATACTTAAGGCAAAATAAATTTACTCTAAAACCTTAACAAAGAAAACAAACTTTGCTATGATGACCAGTACATTTTAGACAGAAACTACATCAAGTCAAATTATATAAATACAAATAGAAATGATATAGTCAAATAAATTTCCATTTAACTTTTCCAGAGAGGTTATGTAACCAAAATATCCACTCTATAACATGAATATGATAGGACCCCCCCACAAAAGAAAACAGACAGGTGTCTCACAATCAAGAACAAAAATTTCACAATGTCATTTGAGTAAAAGTTCAACTGCCCTTTCCAGCTTTATTAACCAAAAAAGAACACATGCAGATCCTAAAAACATACGTTAAGTGGGAAAATTACTAACACTATAACTATAGAAGTATGGACGTAATAAAATTTTTACTGTCAAATATATAAAACCAAGTGAAACATATGTTCAGGAAATTTCTTCAAACAAATGTTAAATAAGAGATTAACACATGACATAAAATTTATTACATGAATCAACTATAAGAAAAAAAAATAAGATTAATTGCTAGCAAATAGGCTACAGTGCAGTCAATCAGAGTTTTCCTTATAGAAAAAGACATCAATGGAATATAAACACAACCTCAATGTAATGGCTTCCTGCTGTTACATAAACATGGAATAAAACCAATTAAGTCATAAAGTCAAGTCTCTTGGAGGTTTATTTTGACTAACTGGTATTTGAGTGTCTATGAAACATGAAAAAGAAATAATGGTAATCATCATACTTCTAGGACTAAAGCTGCAAAAACTTGAATTTGCAGGCAAAAAAATTGCATTGTGGGATGGCAGGGTGTAAAATGCCACATTCAAATATGAATACAGGTTTTTTCCAAAACTGACCTAAAAATCATATACTGAATAGACCATGCAGAGATAAGAAAATGGGATGAGTGGGTACAGGAAGGGAGGCATGTACAGTGGAAGACTACCAAGCTCTTCTTAATCTCAGATTTCTCTGTCACATTCTTTTAAATATTATATGGCACCAATACCACCAATGATAAGCAGGCTCAGCAAAACCAATGACAAAGACTCAACCATTTATATACACACACATGTGAACAATTTTATATATAAATATCTTTCTTTAAAATGAGATTTTATATCTTCTAAAGTATAATACATATAAATACATATGTATCATACATATTGATTTACTATACATACATATATATAAGATTAATCCACAACAGAAAAATGGACAAAGAACCTGAATGGGGCCACTGAAGTTATTTTCAAAAACCTCATTTCACTAATAATCAAATAAATGTTAATTAAAATACATATTTTGTCAAATTGTGTTTTTTTTTTACATGCAGAACATTATGTTTACTAGGCTCCCCCCTTCACCAAGTCCTCCCCACAATCCCCATTACAGACACTGTCCATCAGTGTAGTAAGATGCTGTAGAATCACTACTTGTCTTCTCTGTTTTGTACAGCTCACCCATGCCCCCCCACATTATACATGCTAATCGTAATGCCCCCTTTCTTTTTCCCTGCCCTTATCCCTCCCTTCCCATCCATCCTCTCCAGTCCCTTTCCCTTTGGTAACTGTTAGTCCATTCTTGGGTTCGGTGATTCTGCTATTGTTTTGTCAGTTTTTCTTTGTTCTTATACTCCACATATGACACATATGAGTGAAATCATTTGGTACTTGTCTTTCTCTGCCTGGCTTATTTCACTGAGCATAATTCCCTCTAGCTCCATCCATGTTGCTGCAAATGGCAGGATTTGTATTCTTCTTATGGCTGAGTAATACTCCATTGTATATATGTACCACATCTTCTTTATCCATTCCTCTACTGATGGACACTTTAAACATGATCACATTTAAGGATATCAAGAATGTAATACAGGTACTCATCTTAATGTTTATGAACATATACACTGGCTAAACATTTCCAGAAGCAACTTTGCATTACAGATCACAGGCCTTAAATAATTTTAAACCCATTAAGAAAATATTTGCAATTACAGAAATCTTTCCTAAGGAATTTGTCAGACATATGGTCAAAGATTTATGTGCAGACTTTCACTACTCTAAAATATTTTTTTAAAGTAAAATTTTAAAAATGGGGCAAGATCTTAAATAATACACTCACTTGATATATTTTTCTTATAGACAACAAAATCTTTAAAACATAGTTTTTCACAAAAGATAGAAAATTATAAAAGGCCTGCCCAAAATATAAATTCAAAAGCCACATAAACACACATATTTAAGAAGCTTACACAAACAATTAGGGTAGCTGGAACATTTTGGGAAATCACATCTTTTAGGTGATCAATAAAGTTAACCATGTCTATTTCATATTTCCTAGGATAAGAGTTGAAAGAATGATGGGTCTAACTCAAAATGGTAAATCTTACATCACAATACTATTAACTGAACTCAAAATTTTATTTCAGCTAAGCATAAGGGTATCTTATACTTGATGATTTCAAGAGTGAAAAACCATTATGTTAATAAGTTTATTTATATTAAGGTGATTTTACAATGAAATATCATGGCTAATCAATTTTAAGAACAAAAAATTACTCATTTGCTAACACTAAGGTTTCTTCAAGTTCATTTATTTTTACCTTCCTCCTAGCCGCACCCTAAAATGTGTAACTGAGTTTGTACTTGTGATCAGTAAGATTATTTTATATTTACCATGTATCCATTACTTACTTTCAAAATATACAAACATATCTTGTTTTATAAGGATTCACTTTGTTGCATTTCACAGAGAATGTGTTCTTTTACAATTGAAGGTTTGTGACAACGCTGTATCAAGCAAGCTTATTGGCACCATTTTTCCAAAAGCATTTGCTCACTTCATGTCTCTGTCACATTTTGGTAATAACTGCAATATTACACACTTTTACAGTGAACTCTGATGTTACTATTGTAATTGTTTTGGGGTTCCATGAACCATGCCCATATAAGACAGCAAATTTAATTGGTAAATTTTGAGTGTAATCTGACTGCTCCACTGACTGGCTCTTCCTCCATCTCTCTCCCTTTCCTTAGGACTCCCCTTTTCCTAAGACACAACAATATTGATATTAGGCCAATTAATCACCCTATAAGTACTCAAATGAAAGGAAAAATCACACATCTCTCACTTTAAATCAAAAGCTAGAAATGATTAAGCTTAATGAGAAAGGTATGTCAAAAGACAAGATAGGGCAAACCTAGGCCTCTTGCCCCAATTAGCCTAGTTGTGAATGCAAAGGAAAAGTTCTTGAAGGACATTAAAATTGCGACTCCAGGGAATATATGAATGATAACAAAGCAAAACAGCCTTACTGCAGAAATGGAGAAAGTTTTAGTGGTCTGGATAGAAGATCAAACCATTTATAACATCCCCTCAGGCCAAAGCCTCATCCAGAGCAAGACCCTAGCTCTCTTCAATTCGATAAAGCTAAAAGAAGTGAGGAAGCTGCAGAAGGAAAGTTGGAAGCTAGAAGAGGTTGGTTGGTTCATGAAGTTGAAGGAAAGAAGTCATCTCCATAACATCAAGTCTAAGGTAAAGCAGCAAGTGCTGATGCAGAAGCTACAGCAAGTTACCCAGAAGATCTAGCTAAGCATTAATGATAATAAGAAAATCTAGCTAAGATCATTAACAGCTACACTAAATGATTATCAGTGCATATGACAAAGCTTTATACTGGGAAAAGACATACATCTTTCACATCTAGAGAAGAGAAGTCAATGCGTGGTTTCAAAGCTTCACAGAACAGGCTTACTCTCTCGTTAGGGGCTAATGCAGATGGTAACTTTAAGCTGAAGCCAATCCTGACTGAATATTCTGGCAATCCTAGGGCCCTTAAGAATAATGCTCAATCTCCACTGCCCGTGCCCTATAAATGAAACAACAAAGCCTGAATGACAGCAATCTGTTACAACATGGTTTACTGAATATTTGAATCCCACTGTTTAGACCTATAAGTCTTTACGAGCAAAGATCCCTTTCAAAATATTACTGCTCCTTGACAATGCACCTGGCTGACCAGGAGTTCTGATGGAGATGTATGAGAATTTTTATTTCAGGTCTGCTAATACAACATCCATTCTGCAGCCCATGGATCAAGAAGTCACTTCAACTTTCAAGTATTACTATTCAATAAATACATTTTCTATAATTAATGCTATAGCTGCAACAGAAGGTAATTTCTCTAATGGATCTGGACAAAACAAACTGAAAATTTTTTTGAAAGGATTCACCATTCTAGGTGCCATTAAGAACATTCATGATTCATAGGAAGAGGTCAAAATATCAACATTAACAGGAATTTGAAAGAAATCTATTCGACCCATCATGGATGACTCTGAGGGCTCTGGTCAAGACTTTATTACCAGTGAAAGAAACTGCACTTATTGTCCCTTAAGTAACTGCAAACATATCAAGAGAACTAGAATTGAAGTGCAGCCTGAAAATGTGACTGAGTTGCTGCAATCTCATGATAAAACGTGAATAGATGAGGAATTCTTACAGATGAAAAAGAAAATGGTTCCTTGAGATGGAATCTACTCCTGGCAAAGATGGCCAAGACTACTGAATAGAGAGCAATTTGAAATATCCATAAACTTAGTGGACAAAGCAACAGAAGGTTTGAGAGTGTTGACTCCAATTTTCTTTTTTGGTATCATTAAACTACAATTACATAAGGGACATTATGTTTACTAGACTCCCCCCATCAGCAAGTTCCCCCCACATACCCCATTACAGTCACTGTCCATCAGCAAAGTAAGATGCTACAGAATCACTATTTGTCTTCTCTGTGCTGTACAGCCCTCCCTGTGCCCCACCACCACAATACACATGCTAATCATAAGGTCCCCTTTCCTTCAACC